TTTCTTTATCAAACATTTTAATGTCGATGGCATGCCATGGTTTTCCATAGAGGATACAAGTTTATTGATTTTTTTGTTCAAATCATATGACGTCTGGAAAAAAAACTATTTATATTAAACAATTTCTTCGTAGCAATTTTTTGTTGTTACTTTTGATAATATTGGCCCTACTGATTGTAATATTGTACATAAACAGTGCATTTGTAGTTCATAGTTGTTGTCATTCTTCTCTTTACCTAAATCTCCAATGCACTTGAGAATATATTTTTCTGGGAACACGCCGTTTCTAAACAGTTCGCCAATAAATCTATCAAAAGTAATAATTTACATAAATAAAAATAGGTAACGTAATAGTTAATTAAATAATACTATTTCAAAACACACCTGCAATTGCATATGGATTTTTTCTGAAAATCGAATTGAAAATTATTTAAAACGCCGGATAAACACTTCTTCGGTACCTGGTAAACAAATAATAGTATGTATAAGTCGTATTATTGAACCAACTTCTAAAAATTAGTAAACTTATTTTGAATTCAGAATTACATATAATTTCATACAGGATTTAGGAATAAAAATAAAACGTATAAAGGTATTTTAATAATATGTTGAGAACCATAGATGATAATAATAATAAGTCATAACGAAATAAAATGACAACATAACTAGATTTACCATATTATTATTTTTCATCGTATCTTTTAATTTATTATTACATATTTTATGATTACAATTCAATGTAATATAATATTGTATGAAAAATTTAATTTCTTTAATGGTAATATTGTATTGATTATTATAATAGTAATACAAATCTGAGCCATTATGACAAATTAAGTTAGGACTATAATAATACGTACCTATACAAAGTGGTAAAAAATTAAATTTTTGATTTAACATATTATTTGTGTTTTATTACAATCAGTTTCTAAATAAAATGTTGTATTCATTTATTATTATTATTAAATTTAAATCTGTTTCTTTCTTATAATTTACTTTATTTTATTTTCAGTTTTTTGTTTGTACTGAAGACTGAAGTTCATAAAATTGAAAAAAAAAATCATTATGGAACAAAAAAATAACTCTGATGTAAGTATTCAATGTTATACACAATGTTACACATTTATAAAATTTTAATGTTTCTTTTATATATAATTTTCGTAATATGTTATAAATAAGTTAAATTGTTCATTATTACATAATATTTAATCCAACATTCTAACCTGACGAAAACAATAATCAGCACCACAATTAAATGGTAGGAATATAGACAAGATACGGATACCTATGTGTCTTTAGATTGCTATTTTCAACTAAATTCAGCCTGGATGAACATAAGCATATAGTGTATAAATTTACACAATTAGAGATAGAATAGTTTTTATTTATTAAATATTATTCATGCAATATTAAGTGTTATTTCGTTTCTCAATGTTTATACATTTTAATCATTAATTTTTTTAATTTGTATTATTTTAGCAAGTGTTAAATACTGTAAGATCGATTGTTTACCATTTAAATGATGTCAACTGGGTTAAGATAACACAAAAAATGATTGTTTTGCCAATAAATAATGTTAAACTACTCGATGACATAACAAATATAATATTTGATCGAGTATGTATATTGTGTATAAAATTAATATTGATTATAGTTCTAACTTCTAATTGAACTTGTATAATATTATCATTGCGTTTTATTTTATCTATTGCATTATCGTTATATCCATCTAGGCTTTAAAAAGACAAAATTATACACACATATACGCCCAGATGTGTGCATGTTTGATAAATGACTCCAAGTTTAATAATCTTATTGCTACCGATACAAAAATAACATTTCAAAAAGTGTAATTAAAAAATGTTATGATGTATTTTATACAAATTATCAAGAAGAATTGAATAAATTAAAAGATACGATGAACAATAATAATATGGTAAATATAGTTATGTTGTCATTATATTTCGTTATGACTTATGATTATTATCATCTATGGTTCTCAACATATTATTAAAATACCTTTATACGTTTTATTTTTATTCCTAAATCCTGTATGAAATTATATGTAATTCTGAATTCAAAATAAGTTTACTAATTTTTAGAAGTTGGTTCAATAATACTTATACATACTATTATTTGTTTACCAGGTACTGAAGAAGTGTTTATCCGGCGTTTTAAATAATTTTCAATTCGATTTTCAGAAAAAATCCATATGCAATTGCAGGTGTGTTTTGAAATAGTATTATTTAATTAACTATTACGTTACCTATTTTTATTTATGTAAATTATTACTTTTGATAGATTTATTGGCGAACTGTTTAGAAACGGCGCGTTCCCAGAAAAATATATTCTCAAGTGCATTGGAGATTTAGGTAAAGAGAAGAATGACAACAACTATGAACTACAAATGCACTGTTTATGTACAATATTACAATCATTAGGCCAATATTATCAAAAGTAACAACAAAAAATTGCTACGAAGAAATTGTTTAATATAAATAGTTTTTTTTCCAGACGTCATAATATGATTTGAACAAAAAAATCAATAAACTTGTATCCTCTATGGAAAACCATGGCATGTCATCGACATTAAAATGTTTGATAAAGAAACTAAAAATAATGCATTCCAAGGGTTGGATGGATGAGGGTAATTGTTATAGTTTTAAAATAGTTTAAAAATCTACTGCTGTATAAGTGTTGTGTGTACCACATTATTGAGTCACTGTAATGGACAGGGCCGCATTTAGACATTTTGCGCTCCTGTGCAAAAAAAAAAATTGACGCCCCCTAAGCCCCGGTGAAAAAAAAATTGCTCCCCCCTAAGGGGCCTACCCACGGAAAATATGGATCCTCATTAACCTTTTAGATTTTGCGTACAGAAAAAAATATTTGTTTTACAATGTGTGCTTTTTCAAAAATATTGTTTAGTAACTGCTTGATTCTCTCTCCGCTAAGATACATTTTAATTTATGTCACTTAAACCTTGCTTATAATTTATCATATAAGTTGCCTTTTTGAACATATTTAAGTAGGTAGGTACTTCATGAATAAATAAAATACAATTATATAAAACTGCAAATTTATATTAATTAAAAGAATTTCAAACAGCATAATACTATTAAACTAAATTGTATATTATATAATATTGCGTTATTAAAATAATTAAAATTATAATATTTTAATAATTCACAAGTAAACAAATTTCTGACCACAAAATGTTGGAGCCCCTAAAATACTGGCGCCCGGGGCAGTTGTACCCAGTGCCCTCCCCTAAATGCGGCTCTGGTAATGGATATGTTAGCATTTTTTTTATATAATAACTATATGATAAATCATTGCGTATGAAAAACGATTTTGAGAAGAGACGGACTTGTTTTTTTAGTAACTTGTATTTTAGGGTATTTTAGGGTATTTTAATATAGGTATTTAAATTGTTATTTCGTAATTAATTTTTCTATTAGTCATACTATGGGTAGGTTTGTTGCTAAAACAAATTGTATATAATAATATTATATTATTATTTCTTGTAATTTTTGCAGTTGTTATTAAGAGGATGTCTGTACAGTTTTTTTTTCTCTCTCTGACCCACGCTCAACATACATAATGTGTGTTCAGCAGAACCGACCTTGTGTTGTTATCTTTAGTTTTAGGGTGATTTGACCTATTATACAACAAAGTTAAGAACATGTCGGATATGTGAATTTTTAAATTGTAAAATTGTATATACACTCATAACAGTCATAACCGGGGTTCGGGATTTAGAGCACCTATACATAAAAAAAGCACTTAAATACTTCATATACCTGAGAATTCATATAAGAACTTAAAAATATTATAATAAGCAAAAAAAAGCACGACAGAAACTATATTAACACAAGTTTTTTCTATATTGTCGTTTAATTTTTTATTTTATTTACAGAGCCTGTTAAGTTTGCGGGGAAAAATTACACTGC